TCAGAACGATTTGAAAATTTCAGCACCTACCCCCTTTCGATTTTCTTAGAAATTCGTTTTTGATTTTTAATAATTTTATTTGACGCGCTACGGAAAACTTGTCTAATACTTTTCTGTAGGTACCCATGAGCTCTACGTAAAAAAAAAGTTTCATCGAGATACATTCACTATTGTAGGAGTTATGGCTGTTTGAAAAATGAGATCATTCTTGTAGGGTTTTTCTCACTTTACGGGGTGAAGGAGTAACATTTCGAACATTTTTGGAATTTCTACATATTCTTCATCAAAATACGCGTTGTTTGCATTTTGAAACATTAAAATCGTTCAATCCGTTCAGGAGTTATGATGTTTTAAAGATTCGCATGAAATTTCAGGGAAGCATCACATTAGATTTTCGGTAAGGAATTTTTTTCTCGAAAATGGTTAGGATATCGGGGGTACGCGTATTTACCAAAAATAATTGTAATTGACTCCCGCAATTAAAGATAATTTTTTTAGAACGATTTGAAATATTTTAATTTCACCGAAAAACTGGTCTACCTATTCGAATTTTTTTCTCGAAAATGCGCAGGATTTCGAAGGTATGTCTATTCACCAAAAATGATTATAATTAACCACCGCAAACGAAAATAATTTTTCCAAAACGATTTGAAATTTTGTAATTTTGCAGAAAAATGTCACATCTTCTCGAATTTTTTTCTAGAAAGTGGGTAAGATTTCGGAGGTATATCTATTCACCAAAAATGATTGTAATTGACCTCTGTAACCAAAAATAATTTTTCCAAAACGATTTGAAATATTTTAATTTCGCCGAAAAATTTGTCTACCTATTCGAATTTTTTTCTCAAAAGTGCGTAGGATTTCGCGGGTATATCTATTCACCAAAAATGATTGTAATTGACTCCCATAACCGAATATAATTTTTCCAGATTGATTTGAAATATTTTAATTTCGCCTCAAAATTTGTCTACCTATTCGAATTTTTTTCTCAAAAGTGCGTAGGATTTCGGGGGTATATCTATTCACCAATAATGATTGTAATTAAACCCCATAACTGAAAATAATTTTTCCAGAACGCTTTGAAATATTTTAATTTCGCCGAAAAATTTGTCTACCTATTGGAATTTTTTTCTCGAAAGTGGCCGAACACCCTGTATATAAAATAGACACTAATAACGAAACACGAAGAAAGTAAATTTTACCACAAACTTGGGGCATATTGTTGCTTCAAAACCACGGATTGATGCGTACTAAAAAATCTGGACAATGACTATTCAGTGTCATTCGAGGTTGCAAAAGGAATCAAAAAGAAATATACAATGTCTAACCTATAAATTGGTTGAGTTTTCCGGGGTGGAAACAGTCTGTTTCGTGTCGACGAACGTCTCGGTGCTCAGGACCGGTACCGCGTATGTACACGCGCCGGAGTATTCTAGAAACAAGAAGCATTAGACGCGTTCAGCCACGGAACCTCAAACAACGAACGTGTTCCTTGGAATGCTGTCCGGGTCGGAGCATCAGGATGGTCATCGTCGTTTAACACTACCATTAAGATTTATTTTGCGAATTCACTGCTGGTCGCCTGGGGCCACGCCGAACCTATCTAAAACCTTGCTCTCGGATCTCGGTTCTCGGTCGTTCCTTACACCGGCCACGACCCGATCCTTCAGACCCTCGGGGTAGATCGTATTCAAGTGCTCACCGTGGCTAAATTTAGCGCTGGATAATTTACCGGATTCTGCTCAACGGCCCTTTTACGAGCCTTTGCTTTCGCGGACGGGCATGTTCACCGTGACTTCCGCGATCTTTCTCGAAATTATTGACCTCCGTTTTCGGGGGGGGATAACCGTGCACGAGAGAGAAAAGAACAAACACGAGTCGATCGGGATTTTGGCGCGTCCTTCGACCTCGAGTTCGAAATTTTCACGCGATTAAAAAAATCACCATGCGGAGGGGGGAGAAAAGAAAAAAGAAAAAAAAATACAAAGAAGGAAACACCGGAACCGGTTTCCCGTCGAGTATAATAAACGCAGCGGGCGTTCATGAAACGGAGTAACCATGTTCTTGCGTACGGATCCGTCCCGCGAGATGGAAGAATTCACGACGAAGAAACCAACTTCGTGCTCTCTGTTCAACGTTCACGCGAACGAACATAGTCACGGGATATTTTCCCTATACCCCTATATCCGGTTTGGGCGTTTTTATTCGCCAGGAAACGCAATTATCGCGGCGAGTTTGAAGACCACCGGAATTAGACTGCGCGAATTACAAATTCGTACGAGCCTCGTATCCTTCTGGATGACCTCTTTTACCCCCTTTCTTACCAGAAACAATTGCACTAAGTTTAATTATTGATTTAACTCTCTGCGTTCTAAGGATTCATTTTAATAGAAGTGGCCATTTGTATGCAATTTTGTTGGGGGTTTTTGAATAACTCCACTTACACACATAACTCAATATATTTAGTTATTACACATAATACAGATATATATATAATAAGTAATAAGTAGACTGCGGATATTTATGCATTTATGGGAAATTTAGATTGTCAAAAAAGTATAGAATGCATTTAATATGCAAAAATATAACAGAAACTTAAGTAAGATAAGAATTATTGTATTTAGGGGTTGAATGAACCCTCTACGAAGCTCTTATTTTATTAATTTCATTAATAAATATATGAATTTGCATAAAAATCCGCAGTCTAGTAATAAGCATTAAAGAACAAACTCAAATAGGCATACGCCTAAACGCGACTACATGGCGCAATACTTAGGTGGCGCCTGCGGTGGGACGAGCAAACCTCCTTCAAATTTTGTGCTAGCGTTTTAAAGGATATTAAAAGTGTCCTTTTTCTCCAGAGCTATTTTATTTTAAAATAAATAGTCTCGAAAATATTGAGATCTTGAGTCCTCGATAGTACCTTGTCTTACTGTCTATCTTATTGCATTGACAAAAGATGAGTTAGTGATCTACAACTAGACAATTCCGCCATATTTATAGAGTATAAAAGATAGCTTCGAGGATTTTGGGATCGATTTGCTACCATGGTTAACGTTAACATCTGGACCTGTGAGATATTCTGATAAAAATAGTTGAAACTATCAACGAACTTAAATAATAGGTATTTCCGTTTTCTGTCCACTTAAGTTTGCTTCCACGTGTAACTGCGTTGCGATTCATTGTTGACTTATGTTGGGGTTTTGTAACGAGCTGACACATTCGATATAACTGTTCAATATTGTAAGCAACCTTTAGGTTTGTAATGAATGAATGCGGTTATATTATGTGAGAGTTTCGAAGAGTATTTAGAAGTTGTTCATTTTATTAGTTAATCGTTTGTCAATAATAATTTAGTTAGTTACGTTCGAGCCAGCTTTCTGTACAAACCATTGAATTTAGATATTAAAGGGAAAATATCTTACAATATAAACGTATATTTAGAAGTAAATTAAACACGTGTGCATACAAAGGCGATGCCGTACTCTCAGGGAGACATATTTGGACTGCACAACAACAGAAAAGCAAAACAATATCTTCATATCGATAATGGCCATCATTTCTAACAACTTAGACGCTAAAATATTTGTCTATTATCGCCTTCGTTGATCGATGCAATAGTTTCACTGCAACAATCTCTGTCAGAGTTTCACAACACGGGTGTATCAGCACTTCAATGACAAGCTTTAATGCAGCAGCCGCTTATTTAGCATAAGAAACAAGTAACGCGACTGTATTAGACTCGTGCACGTTGTGTCCCTTTGACAGAAAATCGTGCACTTTGGAATTCCGGTGACATCAGAAAATGACTGCATCAGCTTCATTAACAGCATCGACTTCATGAATATTGCTACTTTCGATTAGCAGTAGCGGATCTGACAGTGAGAAGAGTGGATTAAAAAAGTCGAGGTTTCGAGGATTAGAAAATTCTATTAGAAATAATAAATAAAATAAAAAGGTTTTGAGCTCCCCCCCAAACAATCGACACAATGAAATCTAATATCTGAATATTGCTCGAGCAATATTTTTATTCGCGTAGCCTCCCCCTGTGTCCGCCATTGCGAGTAGCCATGGAATATCGAAGATAGTTAGTTTGTTAGTTTGTTAGTTAGACAGTTATTTAGTTAGTTTGTCAGTTGGTTAGTTAGTTTGTCAGTTAGTTACTTAGTTTGTTAGTTAGTTAGTTATTTAGTTAGTTAGTTTGTCAGTTGGTTAGTTTTTCAGTTAGTTAGTTAGTTACTTAGTTTGAAGTTAGTTAATTTATTAGTTAGTTAGTTATTTAGTTAGTTAGTTTGTCAGTTAGTTAGTTTATCAGTTAGTTAGTTACTTAGTTTGAAGTTAGTTTGTTTGCAGTTAGTTAGTTACTTTATCAGTTAGTTAGTTCCTTTGAAGTTAGTTAGTTAGTTAGTTAGTTTGTTTGCAGTTGGTGCTATGGCACCATAATCGACTCGTAATACTCGGGTACCTTGAACACAATTTAGAGACGCTATTAATTAGGTTTAATTTCCTGAACGAACGTTTCTTAAAGTTAAACTATAAAACAACGTTACGGTACATGTCCGCCATTTTCTATAAAATAACGAGTGATTCCCACTTTCATGTTTCGTCTTCATTTTCATTTGTTTGGTGTACTTCGAATCAGGATGGAACTTCACGTCAAATTTTTCTATGTTTGAGTACTGGAATATCGACATTTTTTTATTTCACGTTCTCCAAAATTCTTTTCAAAGAAATCGAGAACTAAGAGTATACAAAATGTCGACGAAAAGTTGAATTACGAGGAATATTGAGTACCTGAACTTTTTGTCTTTTAGGTACGACGAGAAACAACGACTTCTCGTCAAATTTTTCTATGTTTGAGTACTGAAATATCGACATTTTTTTATTTCATGTTCTCTCGAAAATTCTTTTCGAAGAAATCGAGAACTAAAAGCATAGAAAATGTCGACGAAAAGTTTGATTGCGAGGAATATTGAGTAACTGGACTTTTTGTCTTTCAGGTACGGTGAGAAACAACGACGCGTCGATAGCCAAGAGCTCAGTGGTATACAATTGCTCTCTGCAACTGCTTATCAACTGAAGAAACCTTATCAGCAGCTTCTCATACCGATCACAGTATGGATTGGCATGGAACAGGCCTTCATAGGAGCAGATTTCACACAGGTGAGTAATCGATTAGAAAATTCTCGAGCCAAGTAGCAAATCGATCCATTCGTGAAACATTTCTGGGGCAAATTGATGTGTACAGCGTGAAATAGACTCAAAGAGGGTTGTGAACGCATTCAAAGTTTATTTTGAAAAAAATCAAACTCTAGAAATTAACCAGGCAACAGGGAATTATGATAGTTACTTTTCTCCATTCACTTAAGAGGAATATTTTGAAGCTTATGGTGTAGAGAAGAAAGACTAATTTATGCCAGACTTGATACAAGAACAAATTGATTTTGGAATTAAATTATGCAAATTCTCATTATGCAATGGAAAGCATAGAAATTTGGTACAACACAGTGGATATGCAAATAATTGACTGATTGCTTAACCAAACGTGCTAAATTTTTTAACACAACATAGACCGAACACGAGAAATATTTGAGAAAACTCACTAAAACGTTATACCGATGCAAATAAATGGGACATATTAATAGGAATTGTAAATATTATTACAGTCGATGACTAAAGAATAAAACGATCCTTAAAATTGCAAAACAAGGACTACAGATCTGTAATAAATAAATACAATGTATAGATGAAATTGAATAACATAAAAATAGTTTGAACAATATCACAGTTATGTATTCTGAGAATTAGTTACGTAAAGTGGTTGGGATTATTTCATCTCAGATTTGCAACAGAATCGATATAACCGATACTTAAAAATTTATCTTCGAAACGTTGCACAATGTTGCAAACATTCTTCAATGATTGCAGCTTCGAAGAAAAATCTTAACTATCAAACCTTGATCTTGAAATTAGTAAGCAAAACATTAGTTGTTTAATGAGTTTCCAAGATTTCAACAATATGTATTTCGAAACCGTTGCTTAACAACTGGAGGTGTAATTATTCATGACTCGCGAGGCAGAACAGTCGACTAATAAGTAACAATGGGAATCGAAGAACTCATCTGTTCTTAACAAAAAATAACCAAGGCATCGTTTTTTAATATACCAGGACGGAACGATTATTTCAGACTCTATACTTGAAATTGCACAATTCCTAAATATCGTTTATATCAAATTTTCTAATGCAATGATACGAATATGCATATCTTAATTAAAGGAAAAATCTACATTTTTAAAATGGATATAGACGATCAGTGTTTGGAAATTTAATGTTGAAAACATAGTTTTACCTGACTATTTCAGATTCTATACTTAAAATTGCACAATTCCTAAATTCTCGTTCATACTAAATTTTCTAATGCAATGATACGAATATGTATAATATATCTCATTTAAAGGAAAATCTAAATTTTTTAAATGGATATACATACAATCAGTGTTTGGAAATTTAATGTTGAGAACATAGTTTTACCTGACAGAGTCGCTTTTATTTATAATTAATAGCAGAAACTATTCTGATGACGTCATTTTTCCAAAAAATACTAACTCATCTATTCTTAATAAAAACTAAGCAAGGCATCGTTTTCCAATATACCAGGACGGAACGATTATTTCAGATTCTATACTTGAAATTGCACAATTCCTAAATTCTCGTTCATACTAAATTTTCTAATCCAATGATACGAATATGTATAATATATCTCAATTAAAGGAAAAATCTACATTTTTAAAATGGATATAGACGATCAGTGTTTGGAAATTTAATGTTGAAAACATAGTTTTACCTGACTATTTCAGATTCTATACTTAAAATTGCACAATTCCTAAATATCGTTCATACTAAATTTTCTAATGCAATTCATACTAAAGTTCATACTAAATTTTCTAGTGCAAGGAAAACCTACATTTTTAAAATGGATATACACAATCAGTGTTTGGAAATTTAATGTTGAGAACATAGTTTTACCTGACTATTTCAGATTCTATACATAAAATTGCAGAATTCCTAAATTTCATTCATATTAAATTTTTTAGTGCAATTCATGCTAAAGTTCATACTAAATTTTTTAGTGCAATTCATACTAAAATTCATACTAAATTTTCTAATGTAATTCATACTAAAGTTCATACTAAATTTTCTAATGTAATTCATACTAAAGTTCATACTAAATTTTTTAGTGCAATTCATACTAAAATTCATACTAAATTTTCTAATGTAATTCATACCAAAGTTCATACTAAATTTTCTAATGTAATTCATACTAAAGTTCATACTAAATTTTTTAGTGCAATTCATACTAAAATTCATACTAAATTTTCTAATGTAATTCATACTAAAGTTCATACTAAATTTTTTAGTGCAATTCATACTAAAGTTCATACTAAATTTTCTAATGTAATTCATACTAAAGTTCATACTAAATTTTTTAGTGCAATTCATACTAAAGTTCATACTAAATTTTTTAGTGCAATTCATACTAAAATTCATACTAAATTTTCTAATGTAATTCATACTAAAGTTCATACTAAATTTTCTAATGTAATTCATACTAAAGTTCATACTAAATTTTTTAGTGCAATTCATACTAAAATTCATACTAAATTTTCTAATGTAATTCATACCAAAGTTCATACTAAATTTTCTAATGTAATTCATACTAAAGTTCATACTAAATTTTTTAGTGCAATTCATACTAAAATTCATACTAAATTTTCTAATGTAATTCATACTAAAGTTCATACTAAATTTTTTAGTGCAATTCATACTAAAATTCATACTAAATTTTCTAATGTAATTCATAACAAAGTTCATACTAAATTTTCTAATGTAATTCATACTAAAGTTCATACTAAATTTTTTAGTGCAATTCATACTAAAATTCATACTAAATTTTCTAATGTAATTCATACTAAAGTTCATACTAAATTTTTTAGTGCAATTCGTACTAAAGTTCATACTAAATTTTCTAATGTAATTCATACTAAAGTTCATACTAAATTTTTTAGTGCAATTCATACTAAAGTTCATACTAAATTTTTTAGTGCAATTCATACTAAAATTCATACTAAATTTTCTAATGTAATTCATACTAAAGTTCATACTAAATTTTTTAGTGCAATTCATACTAAAATTCATACTAAATTTTCTAATGTAATTCATACTAAAGTTCATACTAAATTTTTTAGTGCAATTCGTACTAAAGTTCATACTAAATTTTCTAATGTAATTCATACCAAAGTTCATACTAAATTTTTTAGTGCAATTCATACTAAAGTTCATACCAAATTTTTTAGTGCAAGGAAAACCTACATTTTTAAAATGTAAATACACAATAAGTGTCTGTCAATTTAATATTGAGAACATAGTTTTACCTGACTATTTCAAATTCTATACTTAAAATTGCAGAATTCCTAAATATCATTTATATTAAATTTTCTAATGCAATGATACGAATATGATTAATATATCTCATTTAAAGGAAAACCTACATTTTTAAAATGTATATACACACAATCAGTGTCTGTAAATTTAATATTGAGAACCTAATTTTACCTTACTGAGTCGCTGAGCGTCTTAGGTCACATGCACCTTGTTGATTATTAGTGACCACAATTGAATTACCTATTGAAACTGATCATATTTAGAGCAATTGGTATACTTTAATGTCTTTTAATAAGTTTAAAACTTTTTTGCATCTATTTCTTGTAGGATCGTTAGTGAATTTTGTAGCTTATGTTAAATCCTCTTCGTGTTTATAATTAATAGTAGGAATTATTCTAATGACGTTATTTTTTCAAAAAATACTTCGCGAAAAACCTTCCAAGAGTCGAAAGAGCTGTCCGAAAATGGTTGAACGATCATCCTCGCGAGATAGAGCATAAAAAACTGGCTTGGATCAGCCGGATACGAACCGGATACAGAACGGCAGATTCATGATGCGCAACGGCCATCCGAGGTCGTGCAATTGTTCTCCGGAAACACATGCTACTGATCGCAGATACGGTGAAATATCGGCCGATGCATGCATCCTTTGACTTTTAAAGCGCCAAAGACGAGCATTCGATTTAGAAATTGTATAACGATCGGTTGCGTGGTAAAGGAACGAAACGAGGATGATACAGTTTGGGTAATCAAACTTGATTCGAACCAGTTCGATGACGAAATACGTGTACAAGACACATGGACATGGGTCCACGTATTCGCGTGCAACGAAATGGCCAAGGAATAAAGTAATCGATGAAATAAACTGCTACTGGAAGGCATCGGGATCCCGCGAAGCTACCTTCCATTGAATCAGCTGGTTCGACATGTTATAAATAGCCCAGAATCTTATTCTTGCAGCAATTCCCCGATACCACTTCCATACCTGGAATCCCGTGAACCAGTATTTCTTCTTTTTTTTTTTCCTTTCCTCCCTTTTTTTTTCGCTCTACGTGCACCGGTGATGCTGGGACGCACATCTGCACGCACACACGTGACCGAATGAAAGCGCATAGATGCGCGTCGAACGCATCTTTTGCACTCGTTTCTACAGGTCGGTGAAATTTCTACGATTTAGAGGGAAATGTACCATTTTTTTTGGTCGATAGGACGTCAACCCTTCGGGCGAACGACCCCCGATCCTCTCCATCTCGAGTCAATTAAACTGAGGATTATGCATTTTTGCAGAAAAATGTTATTAACCCTTTGGCACTCCGAATTATATTTGAATTTTGTTATCAGCAGCTCCCAACGCTTTTAAGTGTTTTAATTCAATCAAATATCAGTTTTATCTACACTATTGTTGTATTTTGTAATTTTGCAATGATATATCTTTGGTTTGAATTTGAAAAAATGTCGAATAGGACTCGATATAGGAGTGCAAAGGGTTAAACTGATAATACTGATGGGAGGAGCACGTGGTACCATCGATTAAATTTCTAATGTTAATTAAAACTAAGAATAGAATACGATATTTATTGGTGCTCAAAAAATTCCATACCTGGAAATTATAAACAGAAATAGAAATATCAAGTCTGCTATAAACGGTGAGCTTCACTTTTGGAAGATAATTAAATTAAATGAAATTTTGCCTCTCCTGCAATTTTAGATATACATTTAGATATTTTAGATAGACAAAGGGGTTGGTAGCTGAACACCCTGTATGTAGCTCGATCGTACCGAAGTAAACTAATATATTTTTGTCCTAAATTAAATTAAATTAAATTAAATTTTGCCTCTGCTACAATTTCGTCACTTTCAATTTTAAATATATAGATAGAGGGGTTGTGATAGCTGAACACCCTGTATGTAGCACGATCGTAACAAAATAACTATTATATTTTTGTCTTAAATTAAATTAAATGAAATTTCTGCCTCTGTTGCAATTTCGTCATTTTCAATTTTAGATATGAGACATGGAGGGGTTGTGGTAGCTGAACACCCTGTATGTAGCTCGATCGTATCAAAGTAAACTATTATATTTGTGTCCTAAATTAAATTAAGTTAAATGAAATTTTGCCTCTGTTACAATTTCAATTTTAGATATACATTTAGATATTTTAGACAGACAAAGGGGTTGGTAGCTGAACACCCTGTATATATCGTGGTCTTAACAAAGTAAATTAATATATTTTTGTCTTAAATTAAATTAAATGAAATTGCGCTTCTGCTACAATTTCCTCACTTTCAATTTTAGATATATAGATAGAGGGGTTGTGGTAGCTGAACACCCTGTATGTAGCACGATCGTAACAAAATAACTATTATATTTTTGTCTTAAATTAAATTAAATGAAATTTCTGCCTCTGTTGCAATTTCCTCACTTTCAAGTTTAGATATATAGATGGAGGGGTTGTGGTAGCTGGACACCCTGTATGTAGCTCGATCGTAACGAAGTAAACTATTATATTTTTGTCCTAAATTAAATTAAATGAAATTTTGCTTCTGCTGCAATTTCCCCACTTTCAATTTTAGATATAAGACATGGAGGGGTTGTGGTAGCTGAACACCCTGTATGTAGCTCGATCGTAACAAAGTAAACTAATATATTTCTGTTTTAAATTAAATTAAGTTAAATTAAATTTTGCCTCTGCTGCAATTTCAATTTTAGATATACATTTAGATATTTTAGATAGACAAAGGGGTTGGTAGCTGAACACTCTGTATATATCATGGTCTTAACAAAGTAAATTAATATATTTTTGTCTTAAATTAAATTGAATGAAATTTTGTCTCTGCTGCAATTTCCTCACTTTCAATTTTAAATATATACATAGAGGGGTAGTGGTAGCTGAACACCCTGTATGTAGATCGATCTTAATAAAGTAAACTAATATATTTTTGTCCTAAATTAAATTAAATTAAATTAAATTTTGCCTCTGCTACAATTTCGTCACTTTCAATTTTAAATATATAGATAGAGGGGTCGTGGTAGCTGAACACCCTGTATGTATCACGATCGTACCGAAGTAAATATATTTTAGTCTTAATTAATACATTTTTATTTCTATGTATATCCGAGAAACAGGATTCCTGTTTTGTGGGAAGCTTATTAAAGTTCTAATGGTATCTAAAAGAGGGTGCATCGGATACGCCTTACTAATGAGCCTAACTGTATTCGGAACAAATTCAGTTGGCCGCTCGAAGCTGCTCTGGCGCCATCCCCGCCGCGTCTACGGGCTACCTTGTCACTATAACTTTTATCTCTCCGCGCAAAACCTGTTTCATAACGTATTAACATGAACGTTTCTCAATCAGATCGGATTATGCGCGCCGTGGCCACGAATCAGTTAAAACGAACGTGCCCCGTAACTTATTCCAAATATAAATACAATGATACCGTACGATACAGAGACGTTTAGGCAAACATACAGGGTGCCCCCGACTCAAACATCTTCGAAATCATAAATTCGAAACACTCTGCTAAAAGTTGTCTGCCACGAGCACGATCAACGTTAATCTCGCGAAAGTCATCGGAAACCAGACGCGTCCTTATCAACCTATCTTTATTCGCGACCACCCTATATACGCATAAAGATAAAGTCACTTTTATCGAAGCAGTAAAAACCCTTGGAGCTTGAGATCGTAAAACCGGGGAACGTTCGATGAAAATTCTTTTTTTTCCCCCTGCGAATACCATTAAATGGTCAAAACGATGGGATGTACGTATATTTGCTGCTCATGGGTCTTTTTCGTTGTCGTTTAAACGGTTGTTCGAAGTTGAATGTTATCGAGAGGTCGTTATATTTAGGTTCGTTTCTTTTATTTTTTCCAGGCGTACATTTCCTGCGCGTTAGGCGTGCACAGAGTGGGCTATGTGATGATCTGCTTCGGTGTGGTGAACGCTGCCTGCTCCCTGGTCTTCGGATCAGTAATGAAATTCGTCGGGAGACAGCCGCTTATGGCGCTGGGCGCCATCGTCCACGCTAGTCTTGTCGTCGTGCTGCTTCACTGGAAACCGCACCCCGCGAACCCTTATGTTTTTTACACTGTTTCCGGCCTGTGGGGAGTCGGAGACGCGGTATGGCAGACGCAGGTTAATGGTACGTATGTAGGATTTAACGAAAAAGAATTGTATTTGGAACAATTGTACAAATAATATAACTAAATGAACGAATTTGAAACACAACAAACACACAATCTTTTTACACAAATCAAAATCTCATTAATTATCCACACGAATTCAAATCACGTCTGTCTCTTTCAATCACTCGTTACTCTCTGCCCGTTGTCTCGCTGTCCCTGGCAACCCCTTCTTTTTTAACAAAACACTCTCAACCCTTTTGCACATAACTTAACATTACTCCAAACTACAGCGTGACACAAACATTCAACACAATTATCCTACACGTATTTTAAAAAAATATCTCCTTCGAAAGATTACCAGTTTCAATCGATCCTCGAACACATTTTGGACGAAGAAATATCATTCTCCGTTTAATCCATATTACGTTCAATTTGCTAGATTTTTCATTTTCCCGGATCGAGTTAGCTTTCCAACATTAAAAGTTTTAACCCTCGACCGCGATAAGGTGGCACAGTTATTGCACAACCGAATGAATATAGTCAATTTTAGCCTGATAAGGAAGGCAGGTGAATTATTCGTTCGACTAGATACGCTGTTGGGCACACGGTTGTTATGACTAATCGGATGGCACGGGTTTTTCCTTCGCTCTTTCAGTTAAAAATAAAGTATTATCTTTTAAACTATCGTATAATTTTATTTACGTTGCTTCTGTCAGACTTAATTCGCATCGTTAACGTAAACAGTGGCGGGAAATCGTTCGGGCCGTAAATCACCTTTTTTATTTCAAGATGGCGCTCGAGACTGGGTCCTTGTGTTAAATTATACGAGATCAGTTTCTCCGTAATCGTTCCATCGACTTCTACGAACACTCGATCCTTTTATAATTATTAAATATAAAATATCTTGGTATCGACGATATTTTACTATCGATAAAATGTTTTTATTCGAGTCTTGGGTTTTGAGAGAATCGACTTTGAAAGTTTATTGCGCATGCGTGGAATAGAGTACGACTTGGGACTTGCGCAGAAGTAGAAACAGTGGGTAGTGGACAGACATACCAGAGACAAATTTCTAAATTCAGTTATCTCGGGAACGAAGCCTCGAAAATCATGGAAGCAAAAGCTTTGTCAACCATTGAATTATATCACTTGGCGGGAAATCATTCGGGCCATAAATCACCTTTTTTATTTCAACTCACAAGATGGCGCTCGAGCCTGGGTCCTTGTGTTAAATTATTCGAGATCAGTTTCTCCGTAATCGTTCCATCGACTTCTACGAAAACTCGATCCTTTTATAATTATTGAATAGAGAATATCCTGCTATCGACGATATTTTAGTATCGATACAATGTTTTTATTCGAGACTTTTTGAGAGAATCGACTTTGAAAGTTTATTGCGCATGCGTGGAATAGAGTACGACTTGGGTCTTGCGCAGAAGTAGAAACAGTGGGTAGTGGACAGACATACCAGAGACAAATTTCTAAATTCAGTTATCTCGGGAACGAAGCCTCGAAAATCATGGAAGCAAACGCTTTGTCAACCATTGGATCATATCACTTTCTTAAAAAGTGTGTTAAACGCAGTCAAGATCGCGCACGACGAGCCAGTATCAATCGCATTTGACTCACTTTCACTGCATCTCGGTTACTGTTACTGTTACTGTCACTGTCCTCGCCCTTGCTCCCAAATGTATGCTTTCGATTTGCTACAACTTGCACAGTTCGCTATTAAATCACACGTAATTTGAATCGTCGACAAAAAACATAGAATTTTCATTTTTATGGAATACACAGAACTTCCCAGATCTCGCAACTTTTCCTCGAGAATCTTGTAAAATATCTTGGTATTTGAACCGTCATGTTGATGAACTACTCTGCTTTCCCAAGTTTGCTTCTTCTACATCCTTTTCGTCGCGTTTTGCCAACCCACTTTAAACTCGTACTTTCTCAATCTTCGATGATTTCCTTGTTCGACTTGGTGTGGTTTATGGCTCCTATTTTCAATTCTATTCCCGTCCTCGTGCATTCCTCAAAATCCTACGATTCGTTTAACCAGTCAGCGGTTTTATCCATTCCCATTTCCTATAACACTTAATCCCAGTCTTTTCCTCGTGGCTGGCAGCAAGTTTCTCGTTAGTATCTTCGAACGATTCATAAAGCAAAATTAAACATTCTGCACTTTCTTCGCTGCGTATGTTCAATATTCACCGACCAGGCAATTACAAAATACTCGACGACGACGCCAAAAATAAAAGTATTCCATAGCTGTTCAGCCATCGAATACAACACACGAATACTTTTAAGCACCCGACTCCCTACAGAATACAAATTAGCAAACGCCTTCGATCCAGTGACACTTTCGATCAGTGACAATAAACCGATAAAACGTTCTTCTTTTGGTCATCGAATCATCGAACGATCGCGGTTCGCCATTAAAATCCTTCCGTCGACTTTATCATCGTTCCTCTTCGACCCGCCTTTCCTACCTCGTCTTTTTCCATTTTCATCTTTCCAACTTTCTAAACACCACGTCTAGCGCGTATTCTTCCTGTCCAGCAGATTAATTACTGTTATTCGTCTTCGTTGATACCGTCGTTTCGTTGCTTTGTTTGTTCGTTCGTGTAATTTTTCTGTTTCGATCGCGGAGGGGGCCCCCCCTCGTTAACTGTACAATCCTCGCAATTTTGTTTTTCCGTATCCCACTAGGTGATTCTTGTAGAGCTCTGTTTCCTAAACACGAATGTGAAAATGGAATTGCACACCCTCAGTTTTCGAAAGACACGAGTTTTAGTGGAAACGTTCAATTTTGAGCAAAAACGAGGTATTGCGCGAAAATTAGAAACATCAGACAGTTCCACTTGATCTTAAAAGATGGAGGAGAGATTCCTGAATATGCTAACATCGATAGTTAGAATATTTTGTGCTTTTGAACGGTTGCAAATGATCGCCAAAGTTTGAAAAAGTGTCGAATTACGTAGTTTATACGCAACACCAAAAACGAGGTATTACACGAAAATTAGAAACATCAGACAGTTCCACTTGATCTTAAAAGATAGAGGAGAGATTCCTGAATACGCTAACATCGATAGTTAGAATATTTTCTATTTTTGAATGGTTGTAAATGATCGCCAAAGTTTGAAAAAGTGTCGAAGTACGTACTTTGTACGCAACACCAAAAACGAGGTATTACGCGAAAATTGGAAACATCAGACAGTTCCACTCGATCTTAAAAGATGGAGGAGAGATTCCTGAATATCCTAACATCGATAGTTATAATTAGACTGCGGATGTTTATGCATTTATGGGAAATTTTAATCCTCAAAAAACTACAGAACGCATTTAATATGCAAAAATATAAGAAATACTTAAAGTAAGATACGAATTATTATATTTAGAGGTTGAGACAGCCCTCTACGAAGCTTCTGTTTCATTCTATTAATAAAAATGTGAATTTGCATAAAGATCCGCAGTCTAATTAGAATATTTTGTGCATTTGAACGGTTGTAAATGATAATTACACTGTTCAACACAAATTTTGTTTTTCCGTACCCACTAGGTGATTCTTGTAGAGCTCTGTTTCCTAAACACGAATGTGAAAATGGAATTGCTCACCCTCAGTTTTCGAAAGACACGAGTTTTAGTGGAAACGTTCAATTTTGGGTAAAAACGAGGTATTGCGCGAAAATTGGAAACATCAGACAGTTCCACTTGATCTTAAAAGATAGAGGAGAGATTCCTGAATATGCTAACATCGATAGTTAGAATATTTTCTATTTTTGAACGGTTGCAGATGATCGCCAAAGTTTGAAAAAGTGTCGAAGTACGTAGTTTATACGCAACACCAAAAACGAGGTATTACGCGAAAATTGGAAACATCAGACAGTTCCACTTGATCTTAAAAGATAGAGGAGAGATTCCTGAATATGCTAACATCGATAATTAGAATATTTTGTACTTTTGTTTTTCAAACTTTGGCGATCATTTGCAACCGTTCAAAGGCACAAAATATTCTAACTATCGATGTTAGCATATTCAGGAATCTCTCCTCTATCTTTTGAGATTAAGTGGAACTGTCTGATGTTTTTAATTTTCGCGCAATACCTCGTTTTTTACCCAAAATTGAACGTTTTCACAAAAACTCGTGTTTTTCGAAAACTGAGGTCGATACAGCAAAATTCCGTTTGCAGATTTGTGTTTAGGGTACTGTAAGATTTCATATCTGGGTGGCTCGCATTGGTCATGCGTTCCTGCCGTTGCTACAACAGGACTATCTTGTTTAGCGACTTTGCACTGTCGGTTCTTCTTCGTTACATCATTATGTGTTTACCTTTCTCTGCGCGTCTACGACATTTTTGGCTTTTGTGTTATTAACACATTACCGACCGCTACCGATTGACCCTAGATTATATATATCTACTTTTTCTTGTACTTATAGGAATGTTAAATGAAACTTTGCGACAGTGGTTACTATATTGTTCTCTTTCTGTTATTATAGGGTAGTTAAATTTAGTGATATTTTTTATTTTCATGACAACCGATTAATAAGCTACCGGTCGGTAAAGCGTTGATCGGTAAAATGTCGATTAATAGGCTACCGGTCGGTAAAGTGTTAATAAATACACTTTTATTTTCCGAGCCTTCTAATTGAAACTGCCCCGTCCAAACAAGTACGAAGCTCTATAAGAATTACCCGGTGGATATTGAAAAGCAGAAAAGAAAATTTAATTTGTAGAACAGTGAAATCGAGGATATTTCTGTTGATTTAATTCGCCGTTCTGTTTCGTTTTGCAGGTCTGTACGGTACCCTGTTCAGGCGCAACAAGGAGGCCGCGTTCTCCAACTACAGATTATGGGAGAGCGCCGGTTTCGTGATAGCGTACGCGTACAGCACTCATCTGTGCGCGCGTATGAAGCTGTACGTGATGCTGACGGTGCTTATAATCGGCACAATTGGATACATCGTGGTGGAATTGCTGCACAGGCGCAAACAGAAAAGGCTGAAGGCGATCGCGGATGATCCAAAGGCAGCCCAGGCGGAGGCGAACCAGGTGGACGAGACGGACGACGAGAAGGACGATCTTGACGACGATATCATCATTACCCACCTATGAACGACGCACGCGCGACGACGAGTAATTTCATTGGTCGTCGGGCTCGATCGACTCTTCTCTTTTATTCTTCCTTATTGCTTCGCCGTAACGCGCGCAGTAACTTTCTACGACGCGACGTAGACGAGATCCGCTTTGGGAAAACTGCTGTCGAAGCGTGTTGTCGCTCGTTTGCAGGAAGCGTAAGGACGACACGCGTCGCGTGAAATTCTCATCGAACGCAACGTCCATCTTGGAGAACCAGACGCCAACCACCTCCGAACACCGTTCATTCTTTCGATCGTATAAATTTCTTCGTTCGATCGCGCCGCGACGCGTCTCGTCCTCGTTCGCGTCGAGAAGGTATGCATGTGGGCGCGGAGGTCATCCTGTTGAAACAACGACACCGATAGCCGCGGCTGGAAGAACGAAAGAAAGACACCGACTCGTGCTAAATGAACGAGGAACCGCGCGAATGGGACTCGTTTTTCCGCGAACGAACGAGCCCCGTTCGCGTCGCAAACATTCGAAACGACGATCGCCGATTGTTGGATGAAAAGGAATCGCTTGGCTTCGCGGATGGAACGATTTTGGGAAGGATAGTAACGAACGTTGACGTTCAGGAGAGACAAGGTACGCGAAGAAATGGTCGAATCGAACGAGTATCCGTGTGTATTCGTAAGACGCTGGTAGACGCTTCGTAGCAACTTGCCATTAAGTTTTATCGGAATTGTGTCTGAATTTTGTGATATGGATCGGGAGTTCCGAATGAACGGTTCGATCGCGGAATCCGCCTATCTTACGTGTGTATATATATTATATATGAATAGCAATTGTATATGTGGTTTGGAACGGATGTTCTTTTCGAACGCGTAATTCTGGTTCGTCGACGCGAGATACGATCTTGCGAGATGAAAAGGGAAACACAAGAGCCTACCGAATCGAACAGGAATCTGAAATTCCGTCACGAACGGCGGGAGGAAGGGAAAATTACGCGCTTCGTTACCTATTGTACAGTAGAACCTCGATAGTTGCAACCCCCCCGACGATCGCGCGAGGAATCTCGTTCGTTGCACCGCGTGTTGACAAAATGGAGGGCACCGGTCGCTCAGCAACCTGTGAAACCGGAGGTGGAAGGATATATAGACGTGATCGAAATTGATATACGGATCGCTGGTGAAATTTACGAAACCGTGGACCCGTTTTTGACGGTCAATTTTTTTAATCGTCGCACGTATTTAGTACAAATTTAGTTACAGCAATTGATTTCGCGCATAAAAGCGATAAAATATGTTTAGAGATAGGGCAAAGGTAGCTTATATAGCAAAAATCGAAATATAATTCATCCCGTTGCATTTAATCTGTCTCACGTCGGAAAAAATAACCCTGGAAATATGAAACGCTATATTTTATATGAGAAAGTTTTTTCAGGTACTTCTTATCGCCTCACCCTGTACATAATTATGAAAATCTTATTGATCGATGAGGTTTTTCCAATGAAAATGAAACCAAGCACGACTTGACTTATCTTCGACGCCTTGTTCGAATATTTCTAATCGATTAGGATACGAAAAGTGTGCATTACGGTTCATTTGTGAATGAAAAGTGGTTGACTCCGTTTCATGTAATTGTTTCGTGTGGTTGGGTAGTGTTGCATAGGTTTATTGAATTAGATACCTCGATAGTTGCACGAACTTTCAGCCCCGTTTTCCTGCAATTATCGAGATCCTTCTGTACCTTCGATTCGCGACTCTGATCAACTTCGTGGACGAATGGATAAACTCAAAACGAGTTTTTCAATTTTCATCGGTTCAAAGCCAGAGCTCGAAACGATTCCGGAAGGAAATTTTTTCTAATCGTTGTAGAAAAGTTCTGAGTCGAGACTGTCGCGAAGAACTTCTATTCTGAGCAACTGTTATTCGAATTAAAAGCTTAAAAGCTTGTTATTCGAAGAATCTAAACCAGTGTAACAGTTTTCAAGTTTCGAAAGCGGACTGGGTCTGCGATCGAAGCAGGGCTGTGCGCCTGCACGCTTCTTTAACCCTTTGCACTCCGAATTATACTTCAATTTTGTTACCAGCAGCTCCCAAACGCCTTCAAGTGTTTTATTTTTGGAACTTACCTGTTAAAATATCTGTTTTATTTACGCTGTTGTTGCATTTTGTAACTTTCAAGCGTACGATATCTCTTTGGACTTGACGAGGGAGCTTCTGAGATAAAAATTGATGTCGAATCACACTCGACATAGAAGTGCAAAGGGTTAAGAGGGGACCTCTATGTAGAAATCCGAAATTAAGTCGATTTTCAAGAATTATTTCGAAGAATAAAGAATTAATAAATATTTATAAGGTTTTGAGGACTATTTGGAATACACTTCGATTTTATTTTGCAATTTTTTTTGTTCAAATAAAGTGCAAAATGGCGGAGATACGGCACGATTTGCTAGAAGACGTCTTCTAAAACGGTGTACACTCTAGTGTCGGTTTTTATTATCCGAATCTGCCAAGCAACGAAATATGATTGGTAGACCGCGGATGTTTATGCATTTATGGGAAATTTTAATCCTGAAAAAACTATAGAACGCATTTAATATGCAAAAATATAAGAAATACTTAAAGTAAGATACGAATTATTATATTTAGGCTCTGCGAAGCTTCCGTTTCATTAATTCTATTAATAAAAATGTGAATTTGCATAAAGATCCGCAGTCTAATGATTAGTATATAACAATAGTAAATGGATGAACCGAAGATATCGAAAGAAAATTAAAAATTGGAGAAATGGCAGACCTCGGGAGCAAAAAGCTCAATATTTCACAGAAGACTTGTACTCGTTTATTGCATTAAAAATGATGTTTATTTCCGTGATTTTAACTTACTTTTAAGGTCATCCATGAGACATTACTACCATCAAAATGTGTATTAAATTTCAGTCGGATAAGTCGAGTAGTTTTTGAGTAATCGTGTACACCGTTTTAGAAGACGTCTTGCGACGCTTCTATCAAATCATGCTGTATCTCCGCCATTTTGCACTTTATTCGAACAAAAAAAATTGGAAAATGAAATTGAAGTATACTCGAAATAGTCCTCAAAACCTTACAAATATTTATCAATTCTTTATCCTTCGAAATAATTCTTGAAAATCGACTTAATTTCGAATTTCTACATAGAAGTCCTCCCTTAATCAACAAACTGAAAACGTCCAATCCGGCGTTGTTGATGGTCGACGAATCGCGGAGCGCGAGTAACAAGAAATTGTTTAAGGAATTTTGTCGAATGCTCTCGGGATCGACGGCGATTTTGCTTAAGAATTTCGAAAAGTGCAATCGTAACGGAAGAGCCTCGATCACGTTAAGAGGAATATCGAAAGATCACGACGCGTTTAGCAGTAGACGTAAAGAACATTGTAGTCGATAATTTAATAATAAGTAAATGCAACAAAATTAATTTTATAGATCACACACACACACACACCTTTGTTTCTTAGATCATAGAGGAAAGCATGCGTAACACGTAACGACGAACGCCTTTATTATCGTGAAAATGAAAATTCATTTAATCGGTTTCCATTATCGATGAACCGAGTCACGCGACATCGTTGTCTTAGAACGTAAGAATAGCTCCCAAAAAAAAAGAAGAAGAGTGGTATTCATTCTGTCACGAATACGTTAAATCAGTATTTGTTACCCCCCCTCTCCGATCGAATTGTATTACGCCGTTAGTTTTTACGATTCCTCGACGATTATGTATGATGAACATACTAACATATTGTATTGTAACAGCGTCTCTCTCTCTCCCCCCCCCTCAGCAATATGTATTCCGTCCACCAATCGATTAGATTGCTCAAGAATCTTAAACGTAAGATTAGAGTACCGAATAAAAAACGTATGTGTCGCACTTACATTTCTCTCTGTTTTTTTTTTCTTTTTTTTTTTTACTACGTTGTTGTTTCGACGAAGCTGAAAATGTACCGTTTCGTGAAAACGTTTGTCTTCCATCGGATGGCTCGATTTCTATTGTTAACCTGTTTTCTTTTGATAGTTCAATAGACGTAGAAAATGGACCAGAGACACGTGTTTCTTTATCCCCCCTCCAAGGAAAAATAATCCGTACAAAAATGGATACTCGCAATACGGTATTGTCTCGATAACTGGCTCCGTGCGAGCGACAGTTAGCGAGGTAGACGGATATTCCAAGAATTCTCCGTCTATGCTCTTCACGAGAACGAGAAACAGTGAGAGCGAGTGAGATGAATTAAGTGGCGGGGATAAAGTTCGCGCACCTAACGAGACAGAAACCGCGACAATTAACGAGGCACCGTGTACCGTACTCTAGTATTTTTTACAACTGTGTAAGGACAATGTGCACTGTGTTCTTCGTTTTCGAAGAATCGTAAGCGATATTTCATTACAGAATTTGTAACAGACATGCCTTTATTGTTATTTGTTACCCCGTAAGTCTTTCCCACGAGCATGGCGGAATTAAGGGGCCATTCTACCTTGCAGGCACGAAACATAGATGTTTCTTTGTGATTTTTTTTTACGGGCTATTAAAGAGCGATTAATTCTAGGTTTTGTGGATATATTTATTATATATTTAGCTGTGTTTATGAATTTTTGGAACGCATAATATCTATTTACTACGCTGTTTTTGTTGATCAACGAACAACAGTTTTTATAAATGGCGCCAAGTTATCCGAAATCTAAATACCAACGATGTTCTTAATGTAGATAAGTTTGGTTATTGCATGAACTAGGATCTTTTCAAAAATATGAAAAATGGCACAATGGCAGCTATTTTACGAAAAAAAAAAGGAAAATTTTCATATATTCGACTGTTTTTTGTTAATAAAAGAAGTATTGTATACAGGGTATTCAGCCACCCATGAGAAAAATTTTAATGAGGGATTCTAGAGGGCAAAATAAGACGAAAATCAAGTATACCAATTTGTTGATGGAGGCTTCGTTAAAAAGTTATTAACAATTAAATTTAAAAATTTCATATCGTTCTGGAAAAATTATTTTCGAATCCGAGGGTCAATTACAATCATTTTTGGTGAATACACATACCACCGAAATCCTATCCACTTTCGAGAAAAAAAATCGAGAAGGTGTTGAAAGTTTTCGGCGAAAAAAAATTTTTCAAATCGTTCTGAAAAAAATATTTTCGGTTGCGGGGGTCAATTACAATCAGTTTTTGTCATTAGACATACCCTCGAAATATTGCGCATTTTCGAGAAAAAAATTCGAGTGTGTACTGAAATTTTTAGATGAAATTAAAATATTTAAAATCACGCTAAAAAAATTATATTTAGTTACAGAGGTCAATTATAATCAGTTTTTGTCATTAGACATACCCCCGAAATCCTACGCACTTTCGAGAAAAAAATTCCATACCGAAAATCTAATTAGGTGCCTAAATTCGACGAAAAAAAAATTCGAATCGTTCTGAAAAAATTATTTTCCATTGCAGGGGTCAATTACAATCAGTTTTTGTCATTAGACATACCCTCGAAATATTGCGCATTTTCAAGAAAAAAATTCGATTAGGTACTGAAATTATTCGACAAAATTGAAAAATTACAAATCGTTGTGGAAAAATTATTTTCGATTGCGGGGGTCAATTACAATCATTCTTTATCATTACACATACCCCCGATATCCTACGCACTTTCGAGAAAAAAATTCCTTACCGAAAATCTAATCGGGTGCCTAAATTCGACGAAAAAAAAATTTCGAATCTTTCTGAAAAAATTATTTTCGGTTGCGGGGATCAATTGCAATCAGTTTTTGTCATTAGACATACCCACGAAATCCTGCTCACTTTCGAGAAAAAAAATAGAGAATGTGTGAAATTATTCGAGAAAATTAAAAAATTACAAATCGTCGTGGAAAAATTATTTGACCGAAATAATAACAAAGCCATCTTAATCCAATAAAATGAAGCAAACGAAAAAAATGATATAAGAAGTAGGAAACAGGTACTTACAACTTAAAAATTTTCTAAGTACATATTACACAGAATTTTCATTTGGTAAATCACTCTTTATTTACAGAGCATCGTTTCTCAAATAGATTAAGTAGGCCACTTGAGCAAAGTAACTTAACATGGTACTTAATTACTCGATATATCCTTCGCGATTCGTCGAGTTACAAATTGCTTAAATTTATTATTTCTCGAAAATGTCTTTTGCTAATAGAAGACTATATTCAAACGTATGGTTTGTTTCGAATAGAGTCCAATAATTAACGACTAACGTGGACTGCTATCCGATTAGAGCTTACTTAATTTTATGATTAAATTTGTACAAATTGTTGCGTTACGTTACGTGTGTATGTGCGTGCATATATGCAAAATATAAACGGCTTATTCGTTCTGCAGTTTGTGAAAAAAAATAGTTACACGAACTTTTCAATAACTTTTTTCGTTAATGATGTCTAATTGACGTTATCGATATTCCTATATTTTTCTTTTTACCGAAGTATGTTTACTAGATTCATTACTTTTTTCAATTTCCCAACTGATTACGGTTTAATTATGCCTACATTATTCTATAACATTCCAGATAATAACTTCTTGCTCGACGCTTTAACAAACTATTAACCTACCTCATACGAGGATCAAAAGTATTATTTAATAAAATGTTTCGCTCTTTAATATTAAAATTGAACATTACTTGTCTACTTGATACATACTTCGGCTTATAATTAATGATATTTCATACTTTTAACATTAATGAAGTAATAAAAATTAACAAAATATTTGGAGTAACTCTCAGTTCTGAATATAATAATATACAACTAATAACGATAAAAACATTCGCACTTATATCAATAAAAATATTCAAAGTATCACTCGTCGCTATTGTCAATAATATAATAACTCGAAATATATCGATATGTATACGAAAATTATGAGAACAATTCACTGGAAGATATGAATTATGAATTTAACGTTAAAAACGCTATTACTTCTCTATCGTACAAAATATAGTATGATATGTATACCAAAAAATTGCACGTATAACTAATAACGTTCATCGCGATTAGTTTGTTCGCGTGACTAGAACTAATATCACGAACAATAACAGGAATCATTTCGTATATTGTCAACACATTGAAACGATATACAGGGTGTGAACGATAACTTTGGCAAAAATCATAGGGTAAGTAGAGGGCCCCATAGGCAAGTATTTCAAGCATGGGAACCCGTGTTGAAAATATATTTTCTTTACATATATACGTTATATTATTAAATAAAAAGGGGCTCATTTATTTGACAACCAAATTCCTCCCACATTTAGCTCCTGATGGATAGAAAACCCATCGTACTGGAAACTGTTTCTTTTGAGGTGGGTCGGTCGTGTAGGTGACAAAGATGACAAACATTGAAAGTTTTACGATGAACAACGTAAACATTTGTGGCGTCGCCTCCCATGCTTGCCACCAGAGGGGTAGCGCTCTCACAAGCGCTCGACCGACCCCTCCGTTGCTATACATATATACACGCCTCGAACGACTTCCCAATATCCCAGTCGTCTAAGGCGGGGCCTGCTAGAAAGCCTTACTGATGAGTCCACTAGCGCCCCCTACTTTCCTTTTCTGCCCTCCTACTATTCTCACGAGATCCCTACCCGCAGCGAAGGCAGCGAAGCAGCGCCACACATTTAATGAAATCATGGTCAAGAAACAAACTAAAAAAAGTTTGCCTACCCATCAGGCGCCGAAAGACCAAAATTAAAGATCGCCGTAATTCTTTACTGGTGCAATTCCCATGCTCAAAATACTTGCCTATGGGACACCTCTACTTACCCTATGATTTCTGCCAAAGTTTATCGTTTACACCCTGAAAAAAATACATCGAGTCGCATAAGAACGGATGGTAAACGAACGTAAAAGAGTATCATTAATTATTCGTTGAATTACTCGTCGTGCAAGCTAACGGTATCTGCAAGCGCGTGACGTATTAGAAATTGACTATGTTTTTACTGGACTATCTTCGATATGTATTCACTTATCGCATTGTTCTCACAACCAACCGAAATCCATCCCTGTCAATTGATAGAAACGTTGGTTGAACGGACGATAAAAATCTCTCAATCGTTGTATGGCTACGGGGTCTATGTAAGGATGACTACGACCCTTGCTCTTACCTTAAAATCACACATTTTTGTTAAAGAGAAACCTAAGCAATTGCACTACAAAATTACGCTCTCAATGCTCTCAAGCCATGCATATTAAGTCATACATTTGGTACTCTCTAAGCGTAAATATCCCTACTGGTTCAAACCAATTCTCTATTCATGGTTCTGTCATCCATGAACACTATAATACAATAGAACTTGATTTCAAACTCTCGAGACTGCAAAAGTAGTTCTGACTCGAAGCAATGGTTATAAATAGACTACGGATCTTCATGCAAATTCATATTTTTATTAATACAATTAATTAAATCGGAGCTTTGTAGAGGGTTGTCTCGACCCCTAAATACAATAATTCGTATCTTACTTTAAATATTTCTTAAATGCATAGACATCCGCAGTCTAGTTACCAATCATTTTCTTTGGATATTAAAATAATCTGTGAAAGAATTTATTACTTATTACTGTTGATATAGACTCACCAAGGCAATGGGGTGTAGGACGTTCCTCGGATTTGAGCAGACAAGGGAATCCCTTGGTGGCGTTGAAATAAAAGTGTTTCTCGCAGATGACTCTCTTCAGGCCTAAGAAATCCTGCACCCTCGTGATCTCGGCTACAGGGTCGACGATCAGTCTCTCGCCCGAGACGAACAAAAACTGCGACAGCGAGAAGTATTGGAGCCACCTTTCCAGGTGTCGCGCGTACACCCCGATTTTCAGTGGCACCCACGACGTGTCCACGATCTTCGAACCATTTAGGAACGCCAGGTCCTCGAATCTCGGCATGTTCGCTCGTTTGCTGCTCACTTGCGTGTAATCGGATATCGCGCGTGTAACGGGGTCCCTCACCACAAGAATTAACCTCATCGTCGGATTCATGCGTTGAACTCTCCGCGGTACTTCGTTCGTCACGAAGTAAGATGGCGTCTTCTCCATCGTGATCTGCGTGGCCAACGTCGGAGGCATTCGGTGCCTGCAAAACGTTGCAAACAGAATGTTTATTTCTTTATTTTTTTTATTTTAATTAATTGAAACGTGTTACACACCTGTACCAATGAAATCCCTTGACGTAATGATGATCGAAAAAATGCACCTCAGAGCCAGCGGCTCGAATAGCGGGATGCAACCTCAGAAACTCTAACAATGCCCTAGTCCCGCCCTTCTTGACACCGATTATCAGTGCAGTTGGCAATTGTTTGCTGGGCATTAAACCTTGTTGCTTCAAGACCTGATATTTTTGCAAGATTCCTGAGCTTCCTTTAACGCTGTTGTTGCCTGTCCAAAGCGATACCACTTGGAGTTTCGATACCTTTGAATGTTTCGATTGGACATTGTTTATCAAAGAGGGTTCCTTCGTATAGAGATGGTCCAGATACTGATTGTGCGTGTGCGTAGACGAAACGGAATTTCTGGGTTTTTGCAAGGTCGGTTTACCAGACAGGCCAGCGAGGAGCAACGAATTGTCGATTAGAAAGATCCAGATGAGAATTACCAAAAAGAAGGCTGGAACCAAGATCTTTTTCGACCAAGGCCCTTTTCTGAGCTCCATCCTGAACTTAAGAATCGTCGTACTTTACTGGCATCCTGGATTCCATTCTATCACGCTTTCAATCTTCCACTTCCATACTGATATGTTAGAATAGATATCTGTGTGTCTGTCGTATCTATAAAAAATTACAGTTATTTGTTTTCGATGCATTTAATTGAGTCTTTGTCTCCCCAGTTAACATATCTTTTATCATAACTTTTGAACAAATCTCTAAACATCTCTAAACAATCCAAAAAAATCGTTAAAATCGGTGACACCCTGTATATCGACGCTCGTATTACAGCAATAATAGTTTACGGTGAATACAAAATGTATTTCGACGTTACAATGCCAACGTTACGCGCAATACGTATTTAAACGATGAACGTAAATTGTACACGCTTCTATTCTATTCCGTCAATTTGAAAACGGTACGAACGTTCAAGCGTCTAAATTGTCGTGTTATTACGCCACGTAATGACAATGGTAATAATAGCTAATAATATGCTGTTCGAAATAATTATGTTAATATTTCGTCCACGGTTCTAGGTAACAAAGAAATGTCGGAATCGACAACAATTACCGTGCCTCGAAATTGGAGTATTATTATCTAGAAATTGGAGCAGTTAAAATATTCCATGCTAATTTAATGATATAAACATTTGAGTGGGTAAAATAATTGTTGTAATAAATTACAAAACGTCGAAACTAAAAGAAACCATTTTGTTTTTATCTTCTTCGATCTGTAATAATAACCTTACATATGTAAAACATTTTACGTTGCAGAAAAAAACGCATGCTCGTGACACAGAAAATGACAATGAATGAAATGAGTATTTATCTCGTGTGAAATGTAATAGGATATAAATTATTATAGAAACTGTTTGTATGTTTGTTGTATCAACTTACCTCCATGCCGCGGTGTGTTCGAAGCGCACGTTAATTTTGCATGGCGCACATGATCACGATCAGACGTTGCTCTCGCTTCTTTCGGCAAGTGAACGCAAGGGTATGCGATTTCGGTTAAAAGAACTGCACATTTAACGCATTATCAGGTGGCGCGTTCGTAACAATCGATAACGCGGAGCGAGTAGAAGGGAGAAATGGTGTATAACGCGAGGCGTTATCGATGTGATTTTCATAGCTACCGAACCGCATTACGAGAAGTTAAATTAATCCTCATCCTTGTCAGGCACAGTATGTTTCGGTTGAATTTAAATATAAAACATTTGTCGATCGCATCGCGCGCTATAAACGTTTCCCTCTCGTGTTGTTCTCCAACATAGCTGCGTGGTCTCGAGTGACAGAGAGCACGACGATGGCGCCACTCGTTAACGCGGGGGAAATGAGAACTTAAACGGAAAGCAGTTTAGATCTTATGATAATCAAGTGCACGAGCACAGTTGGACATCGAAATAATTTTTTCGTGAAACGATTAAACTCGAGATACGAAAAATTAAGAAATACTTTCGTACGTTATAAAACGTTGTCTGGAAAATATTCGGTATCAAATATCGAGCACCGGTACGATTGAAGTAATGGAGTACGTTGGGCATTAGTAATCTATACAATTCGTATTTAATCAGAAAAATCGTTTAATTACATAGTATCTTATATTCAGTGTCATAGTATAAACAATTGTTAATAATGGTATTACATAATTACAAATATTTACAGACGATCGTATTATTAAACTTATTTTGATCGTTTAATTTATGAGTCAAACTGTAAATAATATAAGGTTACATTAAACCATAAATAACATAGACGATAGCTTTTCCTCGAATTCTTGTGTATTTATTCATTTCTGACAATGGATTTTTAAACACTCTAAGTTGTACTCGTAACTTAAAATAAATTAAAGTTACTTGTAATATTAATAGGATATTAAACGGTCTTAACTTTCGTTAGGAACGTTTAAAATAACATAACGATTTATTCTTCGATGATAGTCGTACGGAAGCGCCGTACTGGCATTTAACACTGCCGCGAAGTACGACAGGTTGCACCGGCAACTCCACACACTTTACAATCGTCGTCCAAACAGTTGGATCGATGTTAGTTGTGCAAATTATTAACTGGACTGATTGTTACGTCTGTGACGCTAACGACTTACATACTACTTCTTACGTGTAGTACTGCTGAATGCTCGGTTTCTTAATATAAATCAAATTAAAAGTACGATAAAATATATATAAATATTTTTTTTTAAATTATCTTCCGAATAGTATGTATGAATTTCCGAAAAGTATTATTTTTCGTTCATAAAGTAAAATTCTTTTTCACATTTTCCCACAACATTCGGTAAATATTAAATACAAAAATTCTTATCTAGATACAAATTTCAAATAACGAATAAAAGATGAGCTTTGACTCTTTATTTGTTGAATATAAATTATAATTAGAGATATACGATCATATGATGTTTCACGTTAAACGAAAGAAAGCTTAACCAAATGATTGTTTGAATCGTTGGAAATTAATAACTATAGAGAGTTTTTATTCGAATAAAATTCTGCTGTCGCTGATAACCAGCCTAGGACGCCCCCTAAAGCTTGGCGCCCTGTGCCGGTGCCTGTTTGGCCTATGGCTAGATTCGGCCCTGGTCATCTGTGTGCGTGTACGTGTACTCGCGCTTCTTGGTAGCGACATTAATTAATTAGATGTAGAAAAGAAACGTAAACCGTGTAACGATAGTTGGGAAGGTTGTTACGTACGAGTTGGGAACGCAACGATTGCAGGGAGTATGGTAGGAAAGAAATCGATCGTACGAAAACGGTTCCGGGAAAAGAAAATTCCAAGAGATGAATGAATGACGGCGCGTCAACTAGATACAGGACTGCTCGCGGCAAGGGCATAGGCCATGCGGCCCGTTGATTGGCCGGCCTTTGAAGGGGCAAGTTTGGGCAGGGGCCGCGAGAGTGCGCGTCCCGCGCGCGCACTCGTGTTAGATCTCGATGGCGACCAAGATGTGCCTGAGAGACGAGCCGCGAAATGCATAGTCGAACCGTGCCCGATTTCCCGTGACTTCATCGTGGTTTCTGTTTACTCGATGCGACCGGGAAACACTTTGCATGCCTTCCGCGTGTCAAGTCGGCCTCATTACTCCGCGGGATCCGTGCGGTGTGTATTTTTCTTCGAGAGTGTGGTGCGTGTGTGCGTCGTGTCCAAGTGTCGAGAGTTCACGCCGAATCATCATCGTCGCTAGGAGAGAGCGAGAAAGTAAGGACGAGAAAGAGAGCTACGATGTGTCTGCGTTTCGGCTCGTACCATTTCTCGATCAAGAGTTGACATTTTCGAGCATGGAACGTCGGTCTCGCCGAAGAGACGCATCGTCATCACAGCATTAGCAAATACAAGCACTGTCGGATATACCGAGTAAGTCCACTGCCGTCTTTTCTCTTTCGAGAGCACCCGATTCCTTTCTTAAAATCCCTCTCCCTCTTTGCTCGCTCGTTCGCTCGATCCTTTTCTCGCCAACGTTCTTCCAGGCCCTTCTCTTATTCCGTTTCTTCTCCGCCGCCTCTTTTTCCTTCTTCCCTCCTATTTTCTTCCTTATCCACCACCTTCTTCGTTGGCCTCTTCCTTTCTCGTCTATCGTTTCTTCCTGCCACAGGACCGACCGTATTACGCTTCGAACCGTTCACGATCAAAACCAGCGACGTTCGGTTTCCTAACGTCTAACGAACCTCCGTGAAAAAAAAATAACGGACGTCGGATGTCCTCGTGCGTAACATCGAAAAATCATTCACTCGAAAATACACTGTAATGTTTACGCGTCTCGAGCTCGTTTTATTTATCTCTTACTCTATCGCCGGCTCTTTCACTCTTTTTCCCCAGATTTTTATTTCCTTCTGCTCCCTCTTCCTTTCGTTTTCGCTCCGTCTCTTTCTCGTCGCCCTCGTGCCCCGTCCTGTCTCTCTTTTCTCTCCTCTCCACCTTTTTCTTTCACCGAGATCAACTCTCTTTCCCTCTCCGTTCCCTCTCTTTTACTCTGCTTCCAGCTACGAGAGGCTTTGCGCGTCTCGGGGAACGTGTATTCACGAATCGAGCTCTCTTTCTTGACGTGCCCGTACCTACCGCCGGAACGCAGCCGTGCATTTTCTTCTCGAGTCGTTCCGCCAGCTTTTCTGCCAGTCGCAGTTTCGTTTCTCTCTTCGTGCCCTACCTTTTTTTCCCCTCTCGAGCCACGGCGATCGTTCCGGTTCCACATCCGTTCGTTTTTTCCTCCATTTTCATACCCCTGTCGCTACATGTGCTCTATCTTTATCAAAACAATACATATGTCACGCTATAAGTCCACGACTCTGACAATCGTGAATATCAATTAACGATTTTATAAATTATTCAGTAAAACCAATACAGTCGTTCGAGTTGTCGTGAATCTCCCGTTACGATGCTTTCCTCCATAATTGACGACAATTCGAAATAAATGCAACGAATAATTAAGACACCATTATATCTTAGACACTCGAGGATGCTAGGTAGCTTTTATACGAAAAGTGCTCCGTTCGGAAGGGTAAATCCGACAGAGGGACCGAGTCTTTTGTTTCTCGAATGTCATTGGTCCTTGAAACTTCAAGGTCGCCTTCATTATAAAACCATCTATTTCGTAATTTTATTATGTACTTCGATTACACACGCTTTTCTATCGCTTTTGGAGAGTCGTTTCTTATTGACGTTTAATCAGTCACTGCTTTAAAAAAATATAATATATGTATATTGGAATAAATTACTTACGCCACCTGTCAAAGTAAACACGATGTTTCTTCCATAGTTAATGCGATACAATGCTAAATGAAAATCTCAACTTTTGGTTTCGTGACTCGGAGCACTTTCATAATAACCGGCTCATATAATGCCCGCTGTCCATGAATATTTAAACGGGTCGAGAATGAGCAATCAAGATGGTAGATTTAAAAGTTGCGCACTGTTTTTTCTTTTTTTTTTTTCAAATAAATAATTCATTCCGTTACTCTCGTTCGTTGGTCATTATCCGAATAAAGGCTGACTCACACTGTCCGTCGAAACATTCTTCAATGGATTTTGCGTGTAGGTATTTACATTGCCCGTCACCGTTCCGACCGGCGGCCCCTTTGAAGATTGTCTTGACAGATAGTCGACGAACGGTTGCCTGACGGATAGTGTGAATCAGCCTCAAGATTGTGCCCAACGCTGATGTGAACCAACTTCGATTAATGTTTCGAGTTATTATTGCGTTTCGAATTTCCAATTAGCCCGGGCACAAAGTAATACTCGGACTCTTACATTTTTTCTGCCTCGTAGAACGATCGGTGGTACCAGTTTTTTATTCACAAAAAACAAAGTTATTATTATTAAGCTCCGTGTAAAGGCGGAAATGGCTGAATCGCGGACCTGTTGAAACGAAATATCAAAAGTGTCTCGGACCGCAAAGGATTAATTTCTCTTTGAACGCCTTCTTTGAATCTTTTGGACGTAATATGATTAAACAAAATTTTTTTTTCGAGTACACTCGTAAATGTTCGATTGCACCCAGGTTTGGCGAGGAGTTGGATCCATAATGTGTGGACAATTATGAAACAATTACAATGTTTTTAACGCCATCTTTTACATTTTTTTTCAAACTCTGTAAATACTTACCGTTCTAGAATTTCTTGACCATAAATAATTTACGTAAATGGGAATTCGGAAGAAAAATCATAGCTTCTAAACTAGTCAATTTTCGACCTAACACCTCTTACACTTTTTTGAAGAGAACACAAAGATGCATCGATTGATACACAAAAATTATACATTTTTGTTAAAAAAAAGTTGAAACTACCTTGATTTTTTGTCGAATAAAAATAGTTTTGCTAATTTTTACTATTTCAATTTTTTGTTAAGCGATTGCTGTATAACTTTTGTTGGAAAAGTTGAAATAGATTTCCAACCGTATAGTGTTTCATTGATATTGCAAGTTTGGAGGTGTGTTAACGCGACCATAAATAAAAATAGTATTTCTTGACCATATAGTAAGGTAACTTCTCGTAATCGCAAAATTAATTTTAGCTGAACCGTTCGGGGACTCGAAGCGCTGTATTTTTATCATTACGATTCTTTTGTTCCATCCTTTGAGCTCTGCTAACCAATTAGGTTTGCGCGCATATTTTCAAAACATCCATAATTAACGTAATTCTTTGAGAAGAATGGAAGGTGGAACCGGTTGTACGCGTAAAAAATGAATCTGGAGATCTATTGAAATTTCTATAAGAACACCCATGATTTAGTATCAAAAGTTTACATCTATTCTATAAATATTAAATCGAAGAAATAGAAATCCATTATTTTTCACCTAGATCGCTGTTGTGATATATATATCTCGTAAAATTGAGACTTGTGGTCGTTGGAAAAATGGCATTTCGTATTAAAAAAAATTCTTTTACAGTTTTTTGATCGATTCAGTTGTGAGTTACAGCGAGAAAAATGCAAGATGGCTGACATTGTGAGTGGTGTTTATGGTCTCGATACTGTCACAACCAATCACGTGCAATTTTGGTTTCGTCGATTCTGTTCCCAAATTTTCGATGTTAAAGATGCACCTTTCATCGTCGAAAATATCGATAAAATCGTGGAAATGATCGAAGTAGACCACCATGTTAGCAGTCCACAAAACAGTTTTAAACCATTTGCATAAAGCTGGATTGAAAAAGAAGCTCGAATTGACGGAAAAAAAACACGAAGCCTTGATCAAATGGAACGAAATCGAATATCAACAAATTCTAAAACAAAACGGTACATATTTCACCCAAGTCTCGAAATAAACGTGAAAATAATGGATTTCTTTCTCCTCGACCTAATATATGCAAGTAACGAAAATTCGAGCGTTTCGGAAAAATCGAGCCTCTCGATGTTCGAACAGGTTTCGATGGTCTCGATAGACCAAGTCTCAGCTGTGCTCAAAATTCGAATGCTTGGGTATTGCGGCTACTCGAAGAGCGCCCGCTAATTAACCGCGCGGGTAGAATTGAAAAATAATATCCGCGTTGATTTATTTCGAGCCGAGGCGTTTCGATCGTACGTCGCAATGCGTCTCGTTTGAGATGGTAATGGATGTTAATAACCACCACCGTTGCAGGAACTCATACATGGTAAATGGTAGCGGGGTTACACATTCGGGGGTTACTGTCTGGTTGCGTGCACAACCTTGGCAGAGCGAATGGACGTCAGTGGTAGTTGATAGAAGTGGAGGTGGTGATGAGATGACTGTGAGGGTTCAAGTAGAAAGGGAATAGAGTTCAGAAGCGGTCGCTTTGATGTAGACACGCTCCACACTTCACGCCAATAAACCTCTACGGTTAAGGTTTCTTCAAGCTTTCTCGATATTGTCATCCTCGCCTTTGGTCTTCCGCGTACAATGGAACATCGGTTGCTCCAGAACTTTTCGACTCTTTTTTACTCGCCGACCTATAACCAAGGACAGTATTATGCACGAAAAAAAAATTTCAAATCGTTTTTACAAAAAAAGAATATTTTTACAACAATTAAATTATTGTATGTGTATGTATCAAGGAAACCAATTTTTCTTCGACCAAATAATTAGCTTCGATTAAATAGTATTCATTTTTTTGATTTTGTTGATTTGCAAAGGGTACCAAGACAAGTATCAGAAACATTTTTTTGAACCTGGCCTTAGCTGTTAGGGGTAAAATCGACCCTCAAATAATAGGCAGAAATTTCCCTGTTTGTACTTCCCTTGAAGCCTAGGCAAATTATGGCAAAATTTAATGGATTACTATGTTCTATGATACTAAAAAAGAAACACGAACGAACTAATTGCATAATTTAATAATCGAATGTAAGGAAAAATGTGCGAGGATTGCATGGCGCTGGGGGTGTGTTGTGTCTTCCTGACCCTTCGTTTGTCACGTCTAACAAGCCTCTTTGAACAACAGCCCTCCCTTTTCTGAAATGATCGGCAATAAAGCGAAAGCTCTTACCAGTCACTCACGGCACACGCGAGGGAGCAATGCAGGGAAATAAGAGTTAAGAATAACAGAAGATGAAGGAACCGGGGCGACGACGGGGACATTACAGGCAAAAAGCTTTGTAAAGTCAAAGAACATCGATTTAGAGATTCTCGTAAGGGGACTCTTTGATATCAAAATGAGAGAACGCGAAGTTTCCCCTGTGCTTTAACCACACCGAGCACGTGGTATCAAACGGCACGATCACAAATGGTCCCGCCCACTCTTCCGATCTTCGGTTCGCGCTAGGGGATTCCCACAACCGTGTGTGCCACGACAACAGGGGGGATGGGGGGAGGGAGTGGCTCATGCGTTGCTCCCTTTCATACAGGGTGGCTCACTTAACCCTATGACCTGGAATAACTCTTTAAATCCTCCAATCATTGTTTCAAA